AGAACCAAGATCGATACTTAATTTTCAGACATTTATTCGTTTCCTAAAAGATTAGAATAAATAGTAGTGCTAATATTTAATGACAGATCGTTCTATTCAATATTATACTGAATAATTTAAAGAAGGGAATAGCAGTTTAAAGTGACGACAGATTTAGAAAGCAATGTTACGGTTGAATATATCACGTGATATTAAATATTGAACTTGATTTTATCAATTTATGAACACACCTTAAAATGGCCACTTCAGGTTAAATACATATATTAGTTAGCTATGACTCTTCATACATGTGCAGCGAACTTGCGCAGTTTGGCCAAAATCATTTTCAGTGTATTAAGTTTATACATTCCCCTCCCACCCCAGTCCCCTCCCACCCCGCTCCGAGGCTGGTGTGGCATTATTTTGGTGATCTTTGTTTTAGTCTGCAAATACATTCTAGTTTAAAAAAGAAACAGGTGGTAGACTGACTCAAAGAGAGGACAGCTGTTGAGTCTGATTTAAACATTTGGATACTCTGTGGAGGTGTTATAGTCGCAAGCCTCCCACCATATGATTCTCTCGATAAAATTTATGGAAAAAAATGAATTGATATGGTGAATTTTATGGGGCAATAACGTATTTAAATAAGTTTTTTAGATTTGTTAGAAATAAATTGGGGATACAAACCACTTTTTTTCAAAACACGTCAACAACGCACAATGCTTCAAGGCATGGAGAACGCGAACATTTTGAAGCTCAAAAATATGAAAAGACAAATAACAGTATAAGTCATGGAACTCTCCGATGGAGATGATTTGAAAAACACAATCACAGAGTGGCATCATATATATAAATACTGCCAGATATCTAATTAAACTATCAATACATTCGCATGAACAAAATATTAATGGCAAGAATTTGTCACTTGATATTTTTTAATCATTTTGAATTATAATCTGAAATGTTGCGAGGTCCTGGAGGCTACGTATTTCAGTAAAAACGCTATGGATGTGAGTTAACTAAGAGCTAAGCTTATATTATAAACAAGATTGCATGAAATATGAATTCCCTACAGATTACTCTCTATAATGAAGAGTTCGTATCACGCTAAATAACTCCAAAAGGAATTGGGTTTGATAGAATGAGAATCATGATTCTTTAAAAAAGAAATATGGCCGGAACTTTAAACTTTTAGCTTTCAAAGTCCTTTATAGAAGAAGATCTGTAGGTAAATACGAGAAACTGTTGCCTCGATTAGGTTTCACTTTTGGAAAATTGGCATTACACGTAGTAGCCATCGATTGCTAAGCTAAAATAGACATAGTATTAGAATTCTTATAGGCTGCACTGAATTAAAGCAATTAGAAAAAGTACACTGAATGCACTTACATGCCTAAAATATCATTATCATGGCGAACAGTTTACTGGGGTCAAAGCCTACTCAACCAGTGTTAATAGAACCGTAGTTACTGGAAAACACACGATATCGGGTTTTCATTAAAAACCTTATATTCTGATCGGTTGTTATTGATATCACCAACAATAACACTAACAGTGATAGATCTTTCTGGAAAACACATGAATTGGACTCTCATGAAAAACTTTATATTCTCATCGGTTTTTATTGATATATAATTTAAATCTGGTTATGTTTTGTATAGATTATAATTTTGCAAACTTTTATTTTGTTCATAATATATACCCTTAAATAGAGTAGTTTTGCATTATTTAATTGTATTGTATGTAAACTTGTAAGTAAATAAACTATGAACAAAAAACCTAAAAAACGTATATCTTCGCCAGTTGTCAATAATAGAAATACCAATAGCAGTAATATATCTTTCTGGAAAACACACGAATTGGGGATTTCTTCTTAAACCTTATGTTCTCATCGGTTGTTATTGATATCATCATTAATAACATTGATACATCTTTCTGGAAAATACACGAATATCATCAATAAATATCATCTTCATCAATATATATTTATATAATTTAAATATGGTTTTGCTTTCATCAAAAACCTTATACATGTATTCTCCTCAGTTGTCAACAATATCAGTACACCAAAAACAGTGAGGTATCTTTCTGGAAAATGAATTGAGTAATGAGTATTTTATCAGTAAACTCACCTTCCCAGCAGGTGTAAAAGTTTAGATATACCTTTAAAAACTCCTACCATTTGCTTTTACAATAGAATTTACACGTTATCAAGACCTACAGTAATTGACTGGGTTCTATATTTAACATTTAGAACGTATTCTTAATCACCAGAAAAACTTAATGAACAATTGTTCTGAGGCTATCGTGTGTCTTTTCAACTAAAATCATATTAATGACTAACTAATTTTCACATAATTAATAGACTTATCTATTGCTCTGTGACCTAGGCCAGTGCTTTCATTGAGACTCGTCTCAATACACCCAACACTCTATTGCTGAAATTGTTAATTTTAATATCAATTTTTATACGCCCACATGGATTGGGGGCGTACATTGCCGCCACCCATGTCCGTCCGTCGGTCTGTTCGTCCGTCGGTCCGTCCGTCCATCGCTCCGTCCACAATTGCTCGTAAACACTCTACAAGGCACAATTCTTGACTGATTTTGGTATGGTTGTTTGTTACCACCCAAGGATGAGCCCTATTGAAATCAGAAAAATCGGAAAATATTTAGTATGATTTATTGCCCATGTTCTTGAAAATGCGTTCAATTTTTAGAACGTAAACACTCTCGAAGGCACAATTTTTGATGGATTTTGACGAAAGTTGGTGTGAGTGTATGTAATCACCCAAAGATGAAACCTATCCAAAACACGTTCAAGTTTTAGACTGCAAACACTCTAGAAGGCGCAATTCTTGACAGATTTTGATGAAACTTGGTAATATTATTCAGTATCGCCTCAAAAAGTTCAAATCAAGTGTATGTCTGAAGGTTGAATATATCAAACTGGTAATTGTTTCTGTATACTATCAAATATTTTTATTTAAAATCAAAGTTGCCAATGGGCGTATATTACCTTGCCTTGCAAGTTATCTTATATTAAAAAATGTCATTGATTAGTCATTTGGCACCTCCGTCGTATTTCCACCTACAATATTCCAATAATTCCAATCTGTATGATTAAAACATCATATCAGTAAAAATATCAGCTTCCTTGTCATAAATAAATTATTTTATTTTATAAAATTGAGATTTTATCAGGCAACAACCAGGCGCAAATCGATAATGTTGCAATCATTCATTCACTGTTTATATTGGAGGCCAGTAAAGACTAGTAGGTTAATTATTTTCAAAGCGCTAATGAGTCTATGTCTTGTTAAACCACTAAAAAGGTCCTTTCACTGTTTGGTTCTCGCCCCTACCATTGGCTCTCCATTGGAGAAATGTTTCGTCTAGAATTTTGTGTATGGTACACCATCCTTATTTTATAATCACAAAACTGTGAGCCGTTTTTTTTAGGTATTATTTATCCCCCTCTCTCTCTCTCTTTCTCTCTCTCTCTCTCTCTCGATCTCGAAATATCTCTCTCTCGAAATATCTTCACGATCACAATCGTCTTCATCCAATGCATCAAGCTACGTGACATGTTATCACCGACAAAAAACTTTCCTGATCTTTTCCGTTCTAACATCATGAAACATGTATCTTTGAGCACATTTTAGTATCGCTTGACAGCCCTATCGATTTTGAATATTTTGTTTTGAAAATTTTCTGAAAGAAGTCGGTGTTTGTTTTAAACTCCTAATTCAAAGGTTACCATGGTTAAGAACTAAATTCAATCAATTCTTTAAATAAATAATTGCAGTCTTCGTTTACTTCGTGCATTTACCATTGCTATTTGTTGTTCTATATGCATACTAATTGATCAATAGAGCCATAATTATTTTAATATCGGTCATCAAAATAACTAGCTCGAAAATGGGAGTTAAAATTTGAATATTGAACCAATCCACTGAAGCGACAGGTCAATAATGTATACTTGTGTTCCTTTAATAATGAATTTTGCAGACGGCTTAAGAACCAGATCCCGTGTCAATGAGTTGCGTGTTTGTCGACAGTAGACTAGTGTAGATCTATATACCCAATTAATAGTAAAAATAAAACATAACTAACAGACTTTCCCCTGTGAATTAAAAATCGTTACAAATAAAAGTCTCGTACAAATAACCATTATACATTAATAAAGGCTAATGATTATTACCTACTTCAACAGCCAAATTCACAGTCGCACATTTTTCACTATCATAAGTCATGGAAAGATCGCAAGCGCTAAAACAATTTGTTAACGATTTCGCGATGGATAGCTATATCATGGATATCAATAGCTCACAATTTTTACTAAGCGCTGATAATACGAATACCATCTCACTGGCGTTTCTGCGTAGCCCCTCACTTATTTATAGAAACATTACTGTACCATATACCTTATTATTTTGCACATATAACATTATATAAAGACAAATTTCTTCGTAACTTACACAACAAAACATTCCCAGAATAACATGCCCAATACAGAAGGCAGAAGTACAATTGCTCAAAACAACCTTCATAGAGTATTTCAAATTCCATCATAAAATGATGCATATTTCCTACTGTAATTGACAGTACAAACTATTGAATGATCACTCTGAATTATCGATCAGCATAATTTAGGTCTATAGCGGCAAAGTACTTTTAACAAGAACAAAAAGCACCAATCATGTAATATATAAGAATTTAGATTTTAATCTCGTATCGGTCTGAAAATTCGTATCGCAATACTTTCTCGATGGATGTTTGCACAAATGATCATTAAACAATTTTACTGTATTTTTTTTTTCAATTTCAGAGCACTGATGGATACCTCAATATACGGATTAACCGGATATCTAAAGTTTGATGTTGGCGGATATCTTAATATTTCCTCATATAAAGTTCGGAATTTAGTGTTTGACGGGCGTGAAAATGTGTGGCGTGATATCGGGTGCATTCAAGGTGATGACGTCAGACCATTCGGAATAATTTGGCCTGGTGATGCACCATCTCCGGATTCCAAAACACAGGGACGTAAACGTTACCGTGTGGTCACAAACCCTGTACAACCATTTGTGATGCAAGAGGCACCACATAAAGACTACCAACGTTGCATAACAGATACGACTTGTTTAAAATTATTTACAAAAGATAAAATGAAGACAATCTCAGCCATAAGGGACTACGAACAACAAATATATCGTGAAAATAAAACTTACGAAATACACTGCTGTAGGGGCTTAACAATAGATTTATTAAATAAACTAGCGAGTGATTTAGATTTTGATTTCACGTTATACATCGTACAAGATGAAACGTATGGTCGCAAGGTGAATGGAGAGTGGAACGGTATGGTGCGGGACCTAATTGACGGTACAGCTCACTTCGCAGTCGGTGCTTTCAGTATCACTCGTGTGAGGTCGGAAGTGATAGATTTTACGGATCCATATTTCTTTTCCGGATTTTCAATTTTATATTCGGAGAAAACACGGGAAACTAACATGCAGGCATTTTTAGAACCTTTCGCAACGCAAGTGTGGTTCGCCATTTTTGTGAGTGCAACTTTAGCTGCAATAGCAATGGCATTATTAGAGTGGAACAGTCCATTCGGATTAAATCCATGGGGTAGAAAACGAAAATCAAACTATACCTTAGCCTCAGGACTAAATATGGTATATTCTGTATTATTTGGTCACACTGTTAAAACGAAGTCGCCAAAGGCGTGGCCAAGTAAAGTGATGCAAAACTTTTGGGCTTGTTCGTCCATTTTTATTATAGCTAGTTACACTGCAAATTTAGCCGCCTTTATAGCCGGGAAGCATGCCGGGATAGATTATACAGATATATATGATGCAAGGGTAAGTACATATTAAAACATACCGACCATACCCACCCCCAACCCAATTAAATTCTCCACGGTTATGGTGACCTTGAATATATCATCTTTAAACATTATTCCAATCCAAACCAAGAAATATCGCCCGAGTAAGAATATGACGTCCAGAACAAAATGGCGTCCTGCGTACCTTTATATTATAAGAGATACTATAAGAGAATTTTTTTTTACCATAATCTGGTGCCTGTGACAATACTGGATTCACATATTCTTTCGAGATCAAGTACAAATTTACCTTTCAGGTTTCATGGACTACAATAATGATTTATATATGATTATTTCACAATAATTACACATTATATTAATCCACATAAAAGGTTTTCATTGGGTGACAGAAATATGTCGTGATCGTTTTCTGAATAGTATGATTTGACAGGGGAGCGTATGATGGATTTTTTTACCTGATTAAAAATGATACTGGTTGCAAACCCAAAGAATTCTTAATTGATTTGTCAACATTTGGTTACATTAAGCTCAGAAGGAAAGCAAAACCTAACATTGGTGGAAAACTGTCATTTGGCATTAAACCCGAACACGACATCATTTCACATTTCTGACATTTAGAGTGAATGTTTCCAGTAGCACTTGACCTACTTTTCAAATGTCTGTCAAAAACAGAAAAAGGCATTGTAGAATACAAACCCCTTTGGGAAATTACCATTACAGTCCAAGTAAGCCAAAGGTATCAAATAACTAAACTAATAGTCTATGAAGATTGCAGTGAATTGGTACATCGAAGCAAATTGATAATAGATTGATAGGGGTGACAGGTGACGTCATTGCAACTATAACTACAACTATTATGAAACTTTTCTATGACCTTGACGATACTCTTTAACTCTATGTACAGAAACATTTTGAGAATTCTAATATTTCAGTAAACGTGCCCAGTACCATATATATGCTACTATTTTTGACGAAAACCTCCCAAATAATCTCGTGCAAATACTGACTATAAGTTGCTCTACCAGATGATGTCCACACAATAATTACCAGGCTACAATATTTATTAAAAACATTTAATTCTTGATTGCATTTTAAAGGTAAACCTCTTTTGGATTGCCCTAGACTTATTAATAAAGGAGTGATATCTAAATGATACAGTGGATTACATGGTTGCAAGCGACCCTACTTTAACATAATTCAGATTTATTAATATTGAATCTTGAACTATAATTTCCAAAACTAGGTCAATCAATCGATTGAAAAATGAGAATATAAATGTGATGAAATAAATCAGGAGTATAAAAGAGATATTAACCACCTCGATGTGGACTGTTGGCGGTTTAAGGGTTAATACAGTCCACCCTGACTAGACCATTTATAATAAATCATTTATTATTTCCAGATACATCATTTTGTGTCTGACTCATTGTGTACCGACATCCCGTAAACTTACATATACAAATCAAAGCAGAACGTGGACATAAATATGACATTTTCTACTCAATTCATTTCTGAAAATTTGAAAATATTATTTACAGAAAGCATTTGATTGCAAACCAAAGCAGTTAATATTTAAAACGTCCATTTGATCTATGTAGTCAATCATGACATTTTGTCGTTGAGGACTCCAATACCACGTTATGGAGAATAATATCTATATTTCTTCTGCGTCGGATGTCGATATCTATTTTACACCATTCTCTTGATGAGAGAAATAAATTTTTATCAGTTTCATGAATGAAGAGTCATTAAATGTTACAATCGGAATGGTGTCAAATTAAGCAAACTAAATAATCATGTATTCTTAATCATATCATTATGTTCTTATTGCATATAATTAAGAGTTTTAACCAATCATAAATGTCCAAGTATGTACAGTCTGGATAAACAAAAAAAAAAGACTTTTTGACCTTTCTTGATCGGTCACTCATTAAAATTCTGCTGGTAATTTTCTTCTTATTTAGCGAATTGTGAATTAATGATCAACATGTGAGACAAACTGGTATTTTTCCAAGTCATTAGAACACCTTTACTTTCTATTCATATAAGTATTAGCATTTTCATTTTTATAATGAAAAATCTTTAAGCCTATGAAGCTTTTGCAAGGACAGCCAATTCATCTATACAGTATTTCAATTGGATCAAGTGGCCAATAAACAAACCCATGAAAGGGGATTTAAGGAATATATATATGATGTATATTTTTTCAAATTTCAAATTTATTAAGAAAGCGAACATTAGCTGCCTGTGATTTATAGGAGATGCCCCATAGTCACCCGGTGAATGGTTAGGAGTAAGGACCAATAATATTTCACGTGTTGCTGCTAAATAAAAAAAATCCAGAATTACCCGTTTGGTAACTTAACATATAAATTCAGCTTTACAATTCTTCAAGAATGACTTTATCAGTTCTTGGGAATTTACTGCGGAATTGATATAAAAGCTGCGCGTAATCTGCTTAAAATATTATTAATATCCATTTCAAAATAACGTATCTCATATAATCGATTTCTGAGAATCCCCAGAGCCAAGACTAAATTTGTAGGTCAAAGCTACTTAATTAATCATTTACTAAATTAAAGTAATAGTGTTTAATAGAAAATGTCATAAAACCGACTCTGGTTTATGGACTAAATGGAATTTTATCACGTTGCTAAGTAACTGGTCCAAAGTCCTTCAGAATGCAGCAATATTATCAGGGATTAAAATGATAGCGAGGAAAGCTGTGCTTATGCAATTTTTACTATTAATAATAAAATTCGGCACTCTATTTGAGCAGGTCATGCCTAGATAGGTAATCAGGTAATAAAATAAGGACATGGCCGATTAAACAACTACATTAGGACCGCAATATTTTAACATCAAGAAACTCCTTTTCGCCTAAATGGAAATACCAGGACAACTTCTGTAGAATTATGTTATATAGGCTATTCGATATGTAGTTTCCATGCTTCTGGTCCAAATCTGATGTATGTAACCCGTTATAAGTTACTGAACTATTTTGTCGTCCAGCGTCTTTCTACAACATTCAATGGCAATGTAAACTAAGTAGGCCTACGTCTCCCACGCTTTTCAGTTCCTACATATCAAGGTCACATTCGAAAAAATGATACGATAACAATGATTGATGAATAAAATTTATTTCAATATGGCGGCGGTTTACGTCTGTACGTGATCAAGGCTAATTTGATTTCTAAGATGGACAAGATTTGAAGCACGAACCAACCCGACAACTCGTCAACTCTAAACTTTCTTTAATCCAACTTGATGTAGATAAAAACCTCCAAATCTGATTACCACCACGAAATGAAAAGCAGAAGTGGAAACACCATTATGAAGTCGTCAATGATAAGGAAGCCATAATGCCGCCATTACGTCGCTATGGTTACTAATACAAGAGACAAGGAGTTGAGACGGTAGTAGAATTGTGGAGAATATGAATAAGAAGAAAGGCACGCGGTAAAAAGAATGTTTATGTTAAAATGGTGTTAGTGATGTGATAAGAGCGTCATAACAAGGTTGTTATTAGATCACTTCCGGTTGTATGTGGTAACACAGCATGTCTTTATCTGTTTGTACTTAGAGAAAACTTAACGAAGGTTAAAACCACAACATGACATGTTGAAATGAAATAGATACATGAATATGTCTTCTAATAATCACATTGAAGCCATGCAAAATCACGATGTCTACGATAATGGTTAAATTGTCCACTAAAATGTAGGCCTATCAAGATGAGAGTCAACCCAGTGGAAGCGTTTCAGAATCGCCCTTAGAATTAAAGTGATATTTTTCCCATTTCAAAAGTATCAATCGTTTATATGTGGCCTCAGAAAAATCATGAGTCTGATCGAAAACACTTGGTGGCTCGAATTTGAAATATAAAACATATAAGTTTGACATAATTTTAGTTCAAGGTCTTAAAACCGTACTATGGCCGTGCCAGATAGCGCGTTCAATACGTAGCCTACTACTTTTCTATAGAAGCTATTAATTGAATCTGGTTTAAGGAAAACCAAAATTGCAGTGAATACAATCCGTGTTCAAACGTTGATTTTGCCAGATACAGACAGTCTGCATTCCACGTGACATAGTTCCAATTACTTAATTAAATAAACTAGATTTGTTTTGATTCTTATTTCGTCTCCTACACTGAACCTCATTACATGCTTGACCGAAGTATAACTAGATATACATCCGGCTTAATCAAATAGTTCTATAAAGTGACAGATATTTGACCAGTAGAATTGTTTGATTGTAATTACTGACTATATAATTGTTCGGACTAAGATGTTGCCCCAATATTGTTTGGGTATTGTAAGGGCCTATTAGAAGGCAGAAGGAATCGACATGTTCCTATCCAAATCTTAAATCATAAGTCACTTTCCAGATTATTTAACAACCTTTTTTATTTTAAGCAGTTTTAGTGCGGACGTAAGAGAACATGGTGAATTAGATGTCACACACTCATAGTCTACAACTGTTTTCCTATGAATTTATTTTTATCAGAGAAAGACATAATATCTGATCGAGTATGACCAATATCACAAGATACACCCTTTCAACCCGACCACACACAGACAACCAACAATACTCATGTGAATTATCTTTTTAAGTTACTAGGAACAGAGATTGGTTTGCTACCCGGAAGTGCCGTTGGAGGAGTTCTAAAAAAGAGGTCAAGCAAACTTTACTCAACGACAACACCTGTACCTAATACAGATACCGCCATTAAAATGCTAATGTAAGTTGAATTGTTCTGAATATTATATTACAAATCTGGGTAAATTGTGCCGACAACCCTTGAACTTAACCACGATTGTACTCAAGGGAGTTGTTAATTACGTAGAGATACATCTAAAATTGATATATTTTCCTTTAATACATCTGGTACGCAATGGTAATGATTCAACATTTCTAACCAATCATATCGAGTAAAATAACATATTATAAGTTTCTGATCCACCAATCACATTGATTAATATTAATTCTTTAATTCGCGGTACAATA